CCAATTTTAATTTAACTACAATTTCATATCATAGAATACAATGGGGTCTAATTAGGAAAATTTTTATATTGTGTAAAAAGGCAACAAAAATCTCCCTACCTTTTAAGAGATTGAAAGAGAGAAAGAGAGGAACGCAAAAACAAAAAAAAAAACACAACGCATAAGGAAAATGTTATTGTGGTAATTCTTGTTTCACAATAAATCAAATTGTTGGTTTTAATATTTTTCTTAGAGCTTTTTCTCTTAAGCAAAATTGTAATATTATTACATGCGGTCCATTATAAACAATGATGTAGGTGATGTGATGGCACCGAATTTTGTCGGATGTCGAGTTTTTAGTGGGAACGCACTAAATCCATAGTAGGAAAGCAAAAATAATATACTTTTAGAAAGATGTCAGTTTGTCGGTTTGTATGTGCAAGCGTATATCTCGGCTGAACCGATTTTGATAAAATTTTATATGTAAATTTATTTTGGCTATGTCACGGATTCTAAGATCAGGGCTCGGAAATCAAATTGGTGGCCAATTTTACATTTTTTACCATATCTACGGAACGGATTGATGGAATTTCTTGAAATTTGATATTTCAGTTGTAGTTCTTACTGAGATTTATTGGTGAGGGATTCGGGTGGAACAAAATGAAATTCTATTAAGAGACAAATTTACACTTTTCTAGTTAAGTTAGCTAAAAGCTTGCAAACTTACTTAAAATTGAAAGGAAGTGTTAAAAATGCATTTTCATAATTTTCTTGTAACACTTTTACTAAGCTAGACAATATATATTGCGGTCGGTTATGTGCTGATCACATTAGATTTTTTATTTTAGATTTTGATCGCAAACTAATCAATTCCAATTTGATATTGAAAAAAGAAAAACAAAAATTTAAAAAAAAAAAAAATATAATGCTTATTATGAAAATGCAATTATGAAACGAAGTAGAATACAGAACAGCAAGAATGAATAAGGCAAGGTATAAAGTAATAGAAACAAACTTAAAATTTAAACAGTGGAAATTTTTGTCAAAATTATTTTTGATATGAGAAAATTTTTAAATTAAATTGTTTATTATGTTCTTCCTCTTCTTATTATGTACTTGCATAAACTGGTATAACAGAATGGTAGAAGAGTAAAGACCTTTATAATTTAAGAGTAAATAGCATCTATAATATGAACTAGTTAATTGCTTGTACGCTCCAAGTACATAATACCAAGTAGTTTAATTATGTATTTATAATTATTAATATATGTAGGTAACAGTTTTTCGAACTAATTACACTGATGAGAGAGTAATTATAGTATTTTTTTGTTAATAATATAAAATAAAAATGAAATTTGAGAGAATTTTGTTCTAAATAATATTGAATCTTTATGGATAATTTGTATTGAGTACATTGCATTTTCACAAAAAATTTTATAAGTAGAAATAAAAATGATAATTTATTAAATAATAAAAATTAATATAGAGTTTCCATCCTTGAAAATTAGTTATACAATATGTACATATGTACATACATGTATTCATAATGAGCAAAACATGAGAGTATAAAAAATGTTTTTGAAAAATATTGCCTAATTTTAGTACGATTTATATGGTAGTTCAAGTATCATTGCTAAATTTATAATTATACTCGTACTTTATATACATATAAACAATATAAAATCAAAGAAAACAAAAAATTAAAATTAAATTTTAGTTAATAATAAAGGTTAAATGGCACGTGATATTGTGATATTTTTCATATTTCGAATGTTTTACCCCACGATATTAGTTTAATATTAATAAAGGTTTTAATACATTTCACGTGAAAGATCACAGACAATTACAAATAAAATTATTACTAAATATATGCAAATCAGTGTGGTACTATAAGAGAAAGATATGTCAGCTAATTATTTTCAAATGATTCAGAACTTAAAATCTTATTAAAGAGAAATGTGATCAAATTTATTTGATCATTGCATTTTATTGGTCATTTTAGGTGAAATGTATTTAAAATTATGGTGATTTATTGCGGCATTCCTACAAAATATATAACAGATATATAATATTACCAAATTTAATTACCAAATTTAATTACCAAATTAAATAATCAAATCATAGTTTTAAAGTACAGTCATAATATACAATATTGGAAGAAAAACAGAAATAAAATTTTGTAATTTTCCATAATTATTTCATTTTGGGTACATGTATACCCAATACCCATATTAATTTTAAATAGTCATTGAAAAAAAAAACAACACAGGTATTCATAAATAACTACATATATTAAAAAAAAATTAACAATTTTAAATTTAATTGAGTGTAAATTGGTTTTCAAAAGAAAAGATATAAAATTTTCGCTAATTATTGTAAATTTTTGCGTATTTTTTTTTTTTTTTTGTTAAAAAATTATTTGTCTCACATGTATATGACACATTATGACTCAAATTTAATATTTATATACATTATATACTCGTATATATGTGCAAATGTACACATTAGTGCAATTTTATTTTCTCCATTTTAAAGAAAACAATTGAATAAATAAATTTTATTATTTGTACATAATGTATTTAATGTCAATTTAAAATGCATGTGTATGTAAATATATTTGTAGAAATTGTATAACACTTACAAAATGTATTCACCATAAAGCACAAAAACAAATATTTAAAAATTAAATTTGTTGGCTCTATTTTAGTGAAATATTGGACAAATGATAAAAGAAAAAACAAAAATTTTGTGTCTATAAAAAAATTTACAAAAAAAAAAAATGAATTTATTAGATATTTCTCTTATATGATAATTAAATGTTAATTTTTGTTTATAAATTCCAGGATCTAATCATTTATGTAAACTTTTAATCAACAAAAATCGAAATCATCTAATTGGCTACAAAATATACGAAAAGAATTTTTTTTTTTGCTAAAAAAATATTTTTATAATTTGGACAGCAAGAAAAGAGAACAACATGACATAATTTTTATTACAAAATCAATTTTTATTCAAAATATTTTAGAATTTTATTTAAAACCTTATTTTTTGTTTTTATTTAATATAAATGGAAAAGGTTTTTGTTTTAAAGGAATTTAACTTAGGATTACGTCACCATCATCGCATAAAATCAAAAGTTAAAATTTGAAACTTAATTTTTGTTTTCATCTTCTTTATGCTTTGCAAGAACTTTTATGAGATTTTACTCTTCTTTTTGTTTTTTTTTTTCTACAAAATTTGGATAATCCAAAATATTTGAAATGATCTATGCTGTGCGTACGTATTTGCTATTTGTATAGAGTTGTATACAATGAACAACCTTTGCGAGAACTGCAGTATGCACGTTTCATGGAAATTACAGTAAAAATTATATTTTAATATTCAATATTAGTCTAAAAAGTACATTACATATTTTTAACAGAATTGTTATTTAAATGACATTTAGTATCAAAATATTTAAGTTTAGTATCAAATATTTCAAATTTAAATTTTTGATCAAATTCTTGGTCAATCACAATCATTATATCAAAACAAATGAGCCTCCTATAGAGCCCGACTATAATACTTTATTCAATTCAAGCTTATATTTTCTTACATTTGGCCAAACTATTTGAATAAAATCATATTTTTTAAAGTCCCACTTGAAAATTGCAAATTCAACTGCACTTATATCAGATTTTGGAAAATTTCTATAGAATTATAATTGTAGTATATTAGAACTAATAAACAAGACCTTGAATTCTTCCCTTTAATAAAAAAATTTTCAATTTCTTAAAAATTTAAATAAGTTCAATACTTTTTTTTTAATGATTTCTCGATTATTCGTGGCACAAACTGAATTCATTTAAAATTTTAAATTGCCCAATGATTTTAATTTCATTGTTCAAGTTTTTTGTATAAAATTTTTCTTTGGTTCTTAACCGGTTAGAAAATGATAGTAAGTATATTGAAAAAATAATTCTGGCAAAAAAAAAACCTAAATATATATATATATACATATTTACACACATATGTACATTACTATACACATATATTTATTTAAGATAAAAAAAAAACTACCAATTTATTTGAGAATTTCAAATAAAAAAAAAAATTTTTTTCTACCAAATTCTCGTCACGTTTAAATCCTTTGCTTATTATGTTATTTCTTTTTCTGCGAAAGTCTTTTTGACTTTATTAGAAAATATTCTCATATATAAACAAGTCAAATAGCCAGCCTTCTTCTTAGAAGAACCGAAATAATCATAATCTATATATATATAAAATTAAAACTGGTTTCTTTTTTGTGATAATTTTTATAAAAAAATAAAAAAAATTTACATAATTTTTATATTGCCATTTTCTACCAATATAATTATAAAAGAAGCTTGACGTCAGTAATTTTTACTTGACCAAATAAATCCAGGTAAAAGTGGTTTGTTGATTTTATATACATATATACATAATAAGGGTTCTCTGGGAAATAAGTGTAAAAAAATTTTCCATTCTTAACCAAATATCTTAAATTATGCCGCGCCAAAATAATAAGAAACTAAAAATTAGCTAAAATACACAGCAGATACGAAAGGTACATATAACACACAGCAGATAAATGTGCATTCAAAAGTCATATAGTGGGTGTTCGATGTTCATGTCAAATCAAAGAAATTCTGCAGAAAATCTTAAGTTAAAATGATATAAAATTTATACTGAAATTTAAATAAATTTCTGATTAGTTCGATATTAGTTGTCAATTTTTTGAAAGCTTGTTGGCAACTAATGTCACACTCACTTTCTAATAAATTCCAAGAAAGTTTAAATTTATTTCTAATAAATTTAACAAATTCACAGATTTTCTTAAGAAATAAGAACTAACGAAATTATTTAGCGAAATTTAGAACAGTTGACAAGTATAATGACGTTTTTATTGGGCTGGACATTAATAGTTCATATATATAAACAAATCTGAAACTCTTATTTTTTAATATTTCAATTTTTATAATATTATGGTCTAACAATTATTCTAATTTATATAATTACAGGTTAAAATAGATGTTTATTATGAATCATTATGCCCGGATAGTGCTGCATTTATAACCGAACAATTATATCCCGTTGTTAAAGAAGATCTAAAAAATTATGTTGATATTAATTGGATACCATTTGGCAAATCAACCGTAAATACACAAAAATTAAAATAATTTTTTTTTTTTTTTTCTATAATTTGTTCAATAATATTTTCGATTTATTTTTATTTTTTTTTTTTTTTTTTTAGTTTGAAACTCGTGGCTCTGAAGTTTTATTTGAATGTCATCATGGTCCAAATGAATGTTATGGCAATAAAGTACATTCATGTGCTATTGATAATATACAAGCAAATTCATATGAAATTGAACATACAAAAGCTTCATTACAATTAGATTTTATAAATTGTTTAATGAAAATTGGTAAAAATTTCCCAGATAATAAATATCCAGGTGAAAAATGTGCACGTGAAAATCATATTAATAATTGGGAAAATATTCAACAATGTGCTAATAGTACAGAAGGTAGTCAATTATTAAAAAAGAATGGTGAACGTACTATGGAATTTCAGAATCCATTAAAGAGTGTACCAACAATTGTTTTTTCAGAGGTAATCATATTGAAATAGCCATTTAGAAGTAGCACAGTTTTAGACTTTTGTCACTTATACTTTATTCTTATCTGCTCTGTAAATTAATTAAATTAAATAAATTACGAACTTTGTTAAAAATTGTTCAACCACTCGAACTATTTAATACATTTTTTTTTCTTATTTTCTTTTAGCAATATGATGATGATCGTCAAAGAAAAGCTTTAACAAATTTCCGTGGATTTTTATGTCAATATATTGCACAATCACAACCATCACCAAGAGTTTGCCAAGGAATTAACAGTTCTGGAAAAAATTATATTGCACCAATTTTAATTGTATTAGGTTCAGCTATATCAAGATTATTTTAATTATTGATTATCAATTATTATATTTGTATAAAATGTAATTTAGAGTAGCGATCAAGAAGTAAATAATAATTTTAAAATTTTGTAATAAAACAAACAACTTCCATTCAAAACTCCGTCCAGCAAAAAAATAAAAATAATTCAAAAGAAAGTTAACAAAAAAAAAAAAAGAATTAAAATGTTTTCAATTTTTGAACATAAATTTTATAAAATAAATTGTAGGTTATTATAAGTGTATAAGAAAATTTTTAATAATATAAAAATAAAATTTCAAAAATAATTTTATCGAAAAATAAAAACCAAAATTAATGATATTTTAACAAAAAAAAAACGAAAAAACCTCCTTAAATGTTACTTAAATGTCTTCTGCTTTCTAAATTATAGGGATTATCAAAATTTAATTGGTATGATTATAATTATAAGAATTTTATGAAATATTTTTATTAATATGTAAAATTACATTTATTATTATAAGTACATTATGTAAGTACTATTGTATGTATTTTTGAAATGCAAATTTCCGAAGGTTAAACATTAAAATTTTTTTTTTTTAATTTTAACCATTGCAGCGTTACTAAAGTTTTTACATTAATATACACAAATACATATATATTTTTTTTTTTGTTGAAATAAAAATCAAATATTTTGATAAAACAAATCCGTTTTTATAATTTAAAGAATTTTTTATTGTCCTAAAGTTGAATGTATAACAAACGCGATAGAACCAAAAATAAATTTTATTCAAAATTTATAAATTTCGAATTGTTATTCAGATTTGTCAAACAAGAAAATTACTCATATTTTAATTATTCAATATTTAATTATTCAAATTTCTGAAAAAATTCCAAATTTCAAAATGTAAATGATGCAAAAATAAAAATCTACTCCTTTCTTGGACCATATTGTCATAAATATGCTTTGTAACTATTAGACTGACCGCCTGATAAGGGAATAATGTTTACCGTCTTTCATTTAATATTTCGATTATTCTCAAAATTTTGAGAAATTTCCCAATATTTGTAATTATTTCACTTTTACTTTATTTAAATTAGTTTCTTAATAAATCGGCTGCCCGATAGGGTATTTTTGAAAATGCAACTTTTAATTTTTAAATCCTTTACATTTAATTTGTACATGAAGCTTTAAAAGCTTTACAATTCTAAACTTAAAAAAATTGCATTTTCGAAAATACCTAAAGTTTATTCAATCTAAAATACCTAATTTTATCATAATTTAAATAAAATGAATAACGGAAAATCGTATAACAATTCTATTTAACCGTTATATTTTGATTTAAAGTTTAAAAGAAAAAGCTTTTGTAACGTTTAAAGCAAGAAGCTAATAACAACAATATAGAAATGAAGGGTGCCGTTCATAAATTGTTGAAAACTTTTAAAGTAAAAAGCTTTTTATAGTTTGTTTTATTACAATGGCAACTCTAGCAAATTTTGAAAATGTTTAAGAGTATTGCCAAATATATTAAAATTTACTTATGAGTATTAAACTTTATAGAATAAAGTAAAAGAATAAGAATTTTTCTTCTATAATTTATGAATAATGGTGTTAAAATCAATTATAAGAGGGAGAATTGTTGTTATTCATAATTACAAAATGTAAAAAATAAAATAAATTTTGTACTTCGTAAGTAGATTAAAAGTTATCAACTAATTTTAATTCAACAAAAGGAGTCTATGTGAATAGAGATCTAGCTTACTCAATTTTACGACTCAAATTAATTATGTATAATTTTTCAATGAAAAATTTTAAATTTACATTTTTATACGTGCAGAATAAAATTGATTTAAGGTAATCTCGTTATATTTTCTTGCTTTTATGTATTCTGAAGGGTTGATAAAAACAAAACAAAAACTAAGAAACTAATTTTAAATTAAAGTTTAATTTAAAAAAAAATTTTTTAAAGTCTTATCATTCATTTTTAATATAATATCGCTTTAGAATTTTTCTGTTAACAATTACATTATATAATAATTGTATAAAAGTTGTAATTTTATAATATTACAAAAATTTAAAATATTATTTAATAATGTGTATAATATGTATGTATATTTAATCTTCATATAATTGTAGTTTTGTTTCATAAACTTTTTTTTATTCATAAATTTTATCACTCAAGCGTTATTTTTTGACTAAAAACTTTTTTTTTTTTTGTTTCATTTTCTTAATATAACAATTAGCAAAGTTAATTCACAAAAAAAAATTAATATATATTTTTATATTATTTAATTTAGTATATACATTATTTAATTGTATATTAAATTAAATAATGACGTTATTTCCGAAAAACTACCTAAATCTGTGAAAAAACCACGTTACTTTTTTAGTATTATTATTAAAATGGATATAATTTTACATTTACATATAAAATTCAATTTGAAAATTGAATAATGTTGTACAACTTGTATTTGAATTGTCCTCATTTAATAAAATTTTCATTTACAAATTAACGTAGTTTCGATTATTAATTAAGGTAGCTTTTCAGAATGATTAGCTTAATATAAAAGTACATCATATGTATTATAAAACCAACAAAATATGCAAAAAAAAAAAAAATAATAGAATTATGGATCTGGTTTTTCATGTAACCATGGACGAAATATGGGTAATGTTGATGGATAATGAGTATCCGGTTTTAATACAGAGTCAGGCCATGTATTTGAAACATCATGATTATCAGTTCGAAATGGATATGTAGCTAAAACAATTGGCAATTGCAATTTAATTTCTTTTTCTAATGATTTTGGTTCTACAATAAAGAACACATCATATTGTATTTTAATTAAATGGCAACCACGTAAATTTGTTGGCGGTAATGGTGGTACATATAAACTTTCATTACGCCATTCATCTTTCTCTCCAGAACGTATTTTTCCTCTTGCAATTTCAGCTAATGCCCGTTTTTCTACTTGAATACATTTTCCTCTAGCCAAATATTCAATTGTTTCAGTTAATGCTGCTTTTGTTCGTTTTATAACAACATTACTGTTGTTTTTAACATATGCTGTAATTGATATACTTTCTCCTGGCACATAACCACCCTTATCAAGTGATACTCGACATTTAACACTACCACCACCAACACAAGCAACTCCCAATTTATGTTCAACTTCACAACTAAAAGGATGCTACAAACAAAAAATATATATGCATTAAAAAATTAATATATGTTAATAATTAATAAATTAAGAATATTATTTCTTACTGATAATATCGGCTTTTCTAAATTCAAATCAATTGGATTCATAACAATGAAAACTTGATGATTTTTATGAATAAGACCATTTGGTTCGCGTAAAGCTGCTTTACAATAATATTGTATCCAACCATAACGACCTAAAAATGTTGATGGTAATCCAACTGGTAAACCTAATTTAAATGGAAAACTATGAATTCCTGGTGATAGAACAGCTGGACCTTGATCAATATCACCAAATAATTTCATACGAAAATCAATATAATTTTCTTTATCATATGTTCTTTCTTGTCTTGATGAACCAACTCGAACAACACCTTCACCAACAACATGAAAATGTAAACCTAAAGCTGGAGTATCATCTTGCAATTCAAGTAAAACACGACCCGATAAAAATTGACCAGGAAAATAAAGTAATGATGTATTATCAAAAATTATTAAAAACTTCAAGAGTTTACGAGGCATTTTTCACTGTTTTAAGTAATGTGTATAGAATTTTAAATTTTCTGTAACAAAAAAGAAATTTTATTTTAAAATTTGTTTATAAAATCTTTTAATTATATAATTTAGCTATTTTACTTGTTTAATTTTATTTTAAGCATACAAAGTTTCCACATCAAGAAATGTTTTCCTAAAAGTATGCAATTTTCGATTTAGTATCATTAGAAAAAGAATTACTCTTGGATCCTTATTAATATTATGTTTTCTTTCCTTAATAGGTTTCCTTTCTATACATAAGAATTTCGGGTCTGAACATAACAATAGCATGTGGTAAAAAATAATCAAAGCTATATATAAAAGTATTTTCGGTATGATAATTGAAATTTAATAGACTTGGAAAATTACTACTAAGCAGTCACAAGAATTTTTTAGTGATTACAACGTTATATTGCACTACAAAATTAGACTTTTTTACACCTATGAATAAATATTTTTAAAATCTAAATATTTTGTTTATATAACCTTGTATAAAAATATCAGTATTATTGTGCAATAAGAGATTTTTCAATTGTATTTCATAGCAAAATAAAAAACTTTCCGATATTTCAAGAGTATGCTTAAATAACATATTACGATAACTTATACGCATAATGTAATTTTATCTCCGTATATACCGAAATCTATATTAATTAATAATGCACATAATAATATTATGATCACATTATTTTTCTTCAAATATATATATTATATAACATGTGATTTATTATTAACACATAATATACCTATATTAGAATTATATAAGAAATACAAAAGCAGTGTTTCCATAATACAATAAATATTGAATACAGTGCTTCTTTAACTGTCAATCAAATAGATTTAAATTTTTTTTCTTGTATATAAATAGGAAATTTTTTTTTTTAAATCAAGTTTTGGAATCCAAATTTGAAATATTGAAAATACATATATGAATATACTTAAATTATGTTGTGTTGAAGATTCGAAAGAATTATTTAATTTTTAATTATTTTCTTTCTTTTATTCTTATTCATTCTAATAAATTATAATGTGTGTACATATAATATATATATATATATATATTAAAATATAAATCCAAAGAACACACCTGGCTGGGCCTATAGGCATACATAATAGTAATAATATATATGTACAAGTAAATAGAATAGAAGTAACTATATATTATGTATATAAAATTTTTAAAACTTAAAAAGCAAAAAATGTGTGTAGGGGGCGTTGTCAAGGTTTCCAACAATGTTTTCAATATGCTTTAATCATCATCTTGACAAATTTTAAATCAGTTAAATTTTAATATTTTCCATTATTGTAATTTTTTTTTGTTGAAATGTAACAAAATTTAAATAAAAAATAATTATTTATTTATATCTAAATAAATAAATTAAATATGCATATAAAATTATAATAAATTATTCAATCTTTTTTTTAGATCACTTTTTATGTACACTTTTTAGATCACTTATAGAGAATCAACTATTTTAGTAAAATTATTTACAAAAAAATAAGAAAATATTGAATAATTTATCGTTTTAATCTTATTTTATTTAAAAAAAAAAAAATTCATTAGCATTGAAATATACGAACATACATGTATACACATAATTTTTGTTTGTGTTAAGATCTGATGACTATTTTTAGTTGATTGATTACATTACTTTTGTGTACATACAAATAATCATATATTTTGCAATTATCATTCAAAGCAGGTATAAAATGATCCCTTATATAATTATATCTCACCTTCACAATTTTTTATTTTCTTTTTTTCTCTCTATTTTTTATTTTTTATTTTATTGTTTATTTTTATTTGTTTTTCCTTTTATTAACTTGTACTGTTGCATTCAATTTGATTGTTTAACATTATTACAATTGTAATTTAATTTTTAAAAAATTACATTTAATTCTACTACATACATACATAATAATAAAAATAATACAAAACGATTTGAAATTAATTAATTCTTCTAAAAATTAAAAATAATTTTATTTAATTTTTTCTTATTGAACTGCCATTATAATTTATTGCATATTAAATTCAAAAAAAAAAAAAAAAATAAAAAAAAAAATTAAAATTATAAATAAATTCGTATTTTATTTTTAGTCATAAATTATAGAGTGCTTCTTCTAAACTAAATCATTTGAGTATATTGTATAAATGTTAATATCAAGAAATTTATTTAAAAAAAAAATTGAGATTTATTAAAGAGAGAAAAGAATCTCTTGAGAAAATAATCAAATACACAATGACAGTAACTCATTACTTTACTATTACAATACTATACTATACAGCGCTGCCAAAAAATGTAGATTTATCTTCAAAATTAAGGTATTTTGGTCATTTTATTTTTGTGTGCAAAACTTCAAAATAAGATATGTATTTAAAATTTTTAAATTTTACATGCAAAAATATCTTCAAAATTAAGGTTTTTTAACGTTACTGAAGTTTTTCAGATTTGGAATTTTTTTTATACATTTTTCCATATTTTCCAAAGTTTGCAAACAAACGTTTTGACCAAAAATAGAATTTAATACTCAACGTATGGTAACGCTACTTTCAAGACAGTTAATGGGCTTGATGCATTAAGGGCTTATGACATCTCATATCAATTTACATGTCAGTAGTTTCTCTTTTTGGCGTCTAATTGGGTTCCAATTGAAATCGTGCTACTTTGGCTTCCTACTTCTTTCAATTAAACTTCAATTAAAGATCTTTTATCGTTCATCAAGATTTTTTTTCTAATTAAGTCTTCAAAATGAAAGATTTTTTTTTTTCAAAAAATGAAAATATTTGGGCTAATCTATATGGCAGCACTGATTACATAGTATAGTCTTTTATACATTATAATGAAAGAAAAACAGTAAGTAGAAAGAGAGAGAGAGAGAAGGAGAGTAAGAATCCAAAATATTTGGAGTAAAAATGTAACCATAACCGAATATAGAATTATGTTTTGTATTTTTTTGTTTTTATTTTTTCTTTATTTATATACATATACAAATTTATAGGTAAACAGGTAAAACAGGTAAAATATATTATATAAATGCCATATTTGTAGACAAAATTATATTATATTAATATGATGATAATATAATATTACGTATATATATACATATATGAATTGAATATAAAATTTTATATTTGATTTAGCGAGAATAAAATTATTATACAATTTTTGTCAGAATTAGAAAACAATTTTCAATTTTATTTTACGTATACTTTTACAAATAAATGATGGGTTTTATTAAAGAAATATAGGTGAGATAATAGGATTAGATTGGAAAGATTAGAAAGTCAATTAATTTCAATTAGAAAAACGTACTTTATTTTGCCAATCAGCAGAGACTTACCAAAATTTCTTTAATTTTAAAATAATTTCGGCTCAATAAACGGTAGAACGAAAAAAAAATATTTTGAGCCATTTTATATGTTATTTATGACAAAATTGTCCGCAACTCGTCCCGATTATTGTTTCATTCATTTCATTCTCCCCTGCAAAAGGGTTCCAAACCAGATTACCATTCCATCACAGTCTTTGGAATTTTTTGACTGTCATAGCTTTCACTTTACATCTTAATAGACCACGAGAAATCTCATAGGTTTAACACGTCTTTCGATGTCGATCCAGACTTTGCATCGTACTCCATTTTACGATACAAGTGTTTGTGTGCATCTATGTACTTAAAATAAAAAAAAAAATGTATTAATAAACCTAAAACTTACAGTATTTATAGAGTCTTTTTAACCAGTTAAACCAGGTTAATGAAATACGAATTATATAATAAACGAACCTTATATAAACAAGTTGTAAACATCTGCTTTTAAATTATTATTAAAATTTTTATAGTAGTACTCCCTCATTTTGTTATCTCATAGTTTTTTTTTCTTGTTTTGTTTTCTTTATACACTTTTTTTTTTCAATTTTATATATTTATGTATATGTATATGTGTTGGTATTGCTCCAAACAAATTATTTTTCTCTCTCTCATTTTTATAAGATATAATTGCCGTGTACCTTTTAGCTATAATAATGGTAATGGAGTGGCAATGTTGCTTATGATCCGAAAAAATTTAAGTTAAAGTTATACGTAAATATTTTGAAAAAAAAAAAAATTTTAATGTTACGCTTCATGAATTTGTTATTGTATTTTATGTTTTTTTTATTTATTATATTAATAAAAAAACAAGAAAAAGAAAAATAACAAAGCAATATTCTCATAAAGAGAATTTTTATTTTAATTTAATTTTTAATAATAATCATTATACTTTATAAAATATTGTATGTATGTATGTATGTGTACTAATATATTAAGTAACTCTAACTTACATTAGTATACATTTTAGTTTATGTGTAGTAAATTTAAATTAAATGATGTTAGGCGGTGGTATATTGTAGGTTTAAATATATTAATCATACTTATGCTTAGATTATGATTATATCTATATCTTAGATTTTTATTTTCTATATAACTATTCATTAATTTATGATTATTATTTTTATGATTTAGTCTATATATGTTTGTATTTTGTTATGTATAATTTTTTTTTATCAAATAATCACTTGTATACAAAATACACAAATATTTAATTTTTCATGCATTTTAATTATTTAGTGATGGGTAATATGTTATATTGTATATATACAGAGCGTTCAATGTCACAATATTAAAATATACAAGAAAAATTTAATGTGAGAGAAGCAATGAACTTTCTGCTAATAGACACTATTATTATGTTTTTTTTTTTGTCTATTATGAAATGATATGTACTTAGATATACAAATACATAATATGTATATTTATTTATATATATGAAAATTTTAGAGAATTTTTTACACTTTAACTATATTCGTATATTATAATTTGATAATATACAGCTACGGAATAAGTTGTAAATTATTATTATTACAAAAAAAAAATTTAAGAGTGAAATTAGATATTTGATGAAAAATTAAAAGTGACCAGCTGATTTAAGATATTTCTTGTATTTTTGAATATCAACAAGTTTTATGTTTTTGTTTTTATATTTATAAATAGAATTTTACATTCTCTTTCTGATTAATTTGATATTTTCTTTACAATTAAAGAATCGATACATTCTGTTACCATGAAATATATATAATATAAATATGTCATATACAAATGAAATAAGATATTTATGGTAACTGGTTTTGAAAAAAATTAAAATCTTAAATTTGAACAGTTTTAATTTTTCATTTTTTTTTATACTTGCAATTGTTTCTTATTTGGTTAAACTACAGCATGTTCTTAGCAATTTTATGTAAATGTGCTGTATTTTTCAGTGTTCTTCAACTTGTTAAAAAAATTAAATTTATTATGGTATATAATATAGAATTCGATTGATGCAGTATAATCACATTTGAAATAAGAATCAATGATATTGTGAAATTTGAAACTGAATAATATTATTTTTTAATTATAATCTTAAAATAATTTGTAAATATTTGATAAATTGCACATTGTGCTTGAGATTTTTTTTTTAAAATTTAACAATTAGTATAATGAAAAAGATTCTCACTTAAGTCTTTTATATATTATAGGTGATTTTCTGTTTTGGTATTTTTAAATGAAAGAAAATTAAAACTAGTAAAAACGTTTCAGTATACCGACCGAATTATACCCTGCACAACAGCAGTGTGAGTTTAAAATTTGTTTTTGAAATATCTAGAATTAGCTCTCATTGTTATATACCAAGTATTCGAACCTGACAAACCACTCTATAGAAACTGCATGGATATGTCTGACCTAAAATTGGACACATAACAGTTTTGTGTCTATTACTTTTTTGAATATTTTAAATTAGATTTTGGAGTTCCATGGCAGGTACTCAAAAATGTTAGGCCTTTCCATCAAAACTTCAGGGATATGTGTGGGTTGATATTGGTAACACGATTGCCGAGTTTTATGAAACTAACTCTATTATTTTCCAAAATCATTCAAATTTGCTTTTGGGGTTGTATGGCAGCCACCCAAACCTGTCATGCCATTCCACCAAAACTTCAGGGATATATGTGAGCTATAATTGGACTTGGTGAGCTAGGTCTACCAAATTTAGTGAATGTGACTTTATTATTTTTCCAAACATTTAAAATTGTTTTTTGCAGTTGTTTGGCAGCTACCTGAACCCGTTGTCCAAATTGGCCCAATTACAATAGTAGCCGTCGTTTGCGCAAAAGAAGCAGCTTGTGAAAGTTTGGTGCCGATTTCGTACGATCTGACGGACGGACATGTCTAAATTAATGCAGAATTTTACGCTGAGCAAAAACATATGTCCATATCGGAAACGACTCCTTCAAGTGGTTTCAAATTCAATACCAAAGTAAATATACCCTAGACGAAGTGCAGGTTATAAAAAGAAGAACAAAAATGAAATTTTCTCTTTTTATTGCTGATTTTAAAGTTAACCCTTTATTAATATATTAATAAAGACTAATTTCTTCACATATAATTTTCTTGAAGGGATCCTATATTCTTGACAAACTGTAGTATTGTAGACATTGCAAGGTAAAGGGGAGTGTTCAGACAAAACCGGCTTTTAGATTGTAAAAGACGGCTAAAATGCTGGTGCTTCAGAGATTGTAACCCTCTGCTCATTATAAAAAAAAAATACTAAATTATTCTTGTATTAGCAAAATAAATGGAGACTTATGAATTTCAGAATTTCACGAAAAGGTATAAAGTGTTAGTTTGAACTAGAGGTACAAAAGAGTTAAATCAAATGAGCAATAAAAAAGAGTGCGATAGTAAAATATTTTATGTTAATTTTTATTATAAAAAAGAATAATTACTTCGTAAAATTATTTACGTATTTTTCTTTTTTTAACTAAAATTAAATAGAAAACTTTAAATTTAATGTGTATACTTTGAGCTGACATAAAATTAAATATTCGTTTAATTATAGTTTTTTTTTTTGCAATGTATAAGACATACAATGATACAATAAGAAGAATATTATAAGAAAGTTTTTAAACAATGGTATAATAACAATAATTATAATAATTGACGTATTTAATAAAATTTTATTAGAATGGACAGATTATATAACTCCTTATATAAACCATATTTAATAATTATTAGTTCATATTAAAACAATTTTCTCAAACGAATAGAGCTTTTGAGGTATTTTGTTAGTTGTTTCCATGGTTCTACTTCCACACTCTTATATATTCAATATTAATGTACTTACAATATATATATATATACTGATAAAAATATTACGTTTTTTTATAATAAAAAAGATGAATTTGTTGCCATATTTGGTATCAAAATCTTCTTGATTGGAAGAAAATTTGCCTTTGTTTTTGTTGAAAATTTATACACCTGAAATAAATTTTGTTTTATATAAATAAATACATTATTATTTTCATTATACCAAATTTCCCAATTTTTTATCAAAATTTCTCATTTTCTTACTCATTTGATTCAAAATATCTACAAAATATATTTAAATAAGAGATCAGTTCAAATATGAGTAAAGAAAGAAGATTGTGAACAAACTCAGCTGACATAACACATCATCACGGGACCCCTAGGCGCACCAACTAAACACGCCCTTACCTAACCCAGTACAACTAATATTAATTGCAAATTTTTTTATGTTTTATTTATTATTTTTATTTTTCTATTTTTTTTATTTTTATACAATTTCATTTTTATTTTTTTTTTTTATATAACAACAGGTTGGAAAAAAAAATTCAAAATTTTTATTTTTATTTTAAAAATTTCTTTTTTTTCTTTTTACATACATATACATTCTTTTATATTTATATATAACTTTTCTTTTTATATACTTAAAATTACAAAATGTTTTTTTTCTTTTAGATTTTATTTACTAAATTTTTATATGTACAAAAAATTTATTTCAATTTTTTTTTAATTCAAATTTTCTAATTATCGTAAATTTTCTTATATCAAATTTATTATTTTTTTTTTTTTTTATTTAAAATGTTAACAATATTATCAATTATCGTAATATCGTAATATTTTTATAATGTTTTTGATATTTTGAAAAGAATACCGTATTGCATTTGTTTAATTTTTTTTTTAATATTTTTCTTGTATTTTACATTTAATTTTTTATTTTCAAATTGAATTATTACGATTTTTATTTTAACAATTCTAAAATATTTTAATATTATCTAACAATTTTCTTTTATTATAATTTATATAATTTTATTAAGTTATTTTTTTAATTAAATTTTATCCAAAAACGAAAAAAAAAAAATAGTTTTTTTTAGAATCATTTTCATTTTTAAGGTTTCCTTTTTAATGGTAATATTTTTATTAAATTTTATTTAAAAATTTTATTTCTATTTATATACAAAATTTTAGTGTATAGTTGTTTGTGTTTCAATTTAAAAGTTTTCATTATTCTTTTTTACTATTTAATATAGTTTTTGGTCAGAAACTATTCTACTAATTAAATAATATTTATTATATTAGAATGTTGCCTTTATTTAAAAATTTATTTTTTATTTTATTTTCGTCATACGAGTATTTAATAAATTTTGTATTTTATTTTTGTTTTACATTAAATTTGAAATGTTTTAATGTGTAGTTAAGTAAAGGGTTTTGCTTCAAGAATGAAATTTTAAAATATTTGTTAGAATAATTTACTTGCAATTGAAATTTCAAAAATTCTAAATTCCAAATTCTTTGGTATTAAAAATATTTCTTTTATTGCAAATTATTATAAAAATAATATTAACAGTTGGAAGAAACATTAAGAGATTTACTTTGACTAAATTTTTCCAGATAATAGATAAAACTTTATGAAATTAGTATATCAAATAAAATGAAAAACTGAAAATTTTTACTTAGTCGTAAATTGACTTAGATACCACAGATTTGTTAGAATGTGAAATAAAAAACTGCAAAATTTGACTTAAATTTGGTATTATTAAAAACTAGTTAAAATATAAACTGAAAAATTTTAAAATTCGACTTAGGCTGTTTTTGTATCACCATAGATTTGTTAGTTAAATTAATCATTCTAATTATGGAAGTACAATAAAATTTTTGAATTTATAGAAACAAACAAATATAGAAATAGTAAATTATTATTGTATAATTTAACAGATCAGAAACCAGACAAATAAATCTTCGCTATTTAAAAAGATTTGTCAAAAAAAAAAAATACTATCCATAATTTTTTTTTAAATCTCGATAATATTTTCAATGAAATTGTGAAGTTGTTTAAAGGTTTCTCTTATATAAATTTAATTAAAATGCAAAAGTTTACTTATATAAATTTTTTCTTTTGAATTAATTTATGTATTTTATTCGTGATATGTGTTGATAAACTGTAAATGGAAGAATTGTTATCTATTATTTTTTGTTCTCGAAATCTCATTGGAAGATTCATTTTTAATGTTGAGAAGCACTGGTTATATTGTAAATAATACGTATATAATATGAATTGTGAACATTAATTATTTTGAGTTTTTCCATTAACTATCAAATGTTGTAAAGTTAAGGCACTACATTTATTATTTGGACGGACCAATTAACTATTAAAATGAATTGTACAGTCGGTTTTATTTTAGTTTCATTGTTTCTGTTCACCAGTGTTTCTTTAATAACAAAATTTAATATTTAATTAACGGAAGCAAATTAATTTTTATTATAATGGAAGTTATATGTATATGTAACTGTTAAGACTGCGGAAGTTCAAATGGAAGAACATTTTTTTCCAAAATTTAAAAAATTAATTAATTTTTTTCCATATTGTAGTCAAATTTTCCTTGCTGTATTTTAATCGCAGCGATATTACCGTGTACTCGCTCAAATTTTGTTCAATATGTGTCTTTTATGATGCAAGTTTCTTTTTCATCATCGTAATAATATAATTGTCATTTCAAATTGCTATTAGACATTTTAAGATTTACCAGCTTCAACATCTTTATCTGTATTTCCAGGAGCTGTAGTAGCACCAACTTTTGTTGTATTGGCTGTTTGAACTGCTTCTGCAGCTGCTGCAGCTGCGGCTGCTGCTTGTCGTTGTTCCTCTTCAAGTTCTAATTTTTCAACTTTTCTTATTTTTTGAAGTTTTTCTAATAGATTTTTAATAAAAAATTAAGAAAAAATAAAATAAATTTAGTATTATAAAAAAAAATTAAATTTCCAAATTAATCTTAATAATAAAATAAATATTTACTTACTTGCGGTTTTCATCATAATTGTACCCCACCATATGGACCAACCCCATCCAACAAAACAAAATAGGACGCAAAAGAATTGTGCCACACCAACAAAACAGTTAATAACAAATGATCCAATACGTGCTTTTGCACTATCGTACTGTGAGAAGCGTGGTATTCCAAAACAAAGGCAAAAGAATCCCGACAGTATTGTACCTTAAATGTTAAATTATAGTTATTAAAAATTGTAAGTGAAAAACAAATATTGCTTTTATAATACCTAAGCCAGGAATAATGATATTGCATCCTGTACAAAAATATGCTAAATAAATTGGTAAAACTGGAATTGCACCTTTCATTTTTGAACTGTATTCAACTAAATCATTATGAAGTTTCGGTCTTGTATCCTTGAATAAAAATGATATTTTTATAAAATGTGGTAAGGGTTTTTATAGGAATATGAGACTAAAAAAAAATTATTTATTTATTGCGTTAATATAGTGATTTTGTATTTTTTTTTCTATTCTGGTAACTATGGGATGATATTCCCAAAGTTTTGGGGTGAAAAGAACGCAAACAAATAGGAAAAAAATAAATAAAGAGTGCGTGGGTATTAGTGACGTATTGAAAATAAATAATTTTGTGTTAATTTGATATCTTCCCTCTTTTTTTTTGTAAATCGAAAATTTAATCAGGGTCGTAGCTCAGTTATTCTTTTACACTCGAAGTACTCCTCACAGGCACTGCCAAACTTTGGTGTTGTACTCGAAGTGTGCCTCTCAGGCACCACCAACAATATGCTGCACTAAATTTCAAACTGTTTGAATTCACAGTTAAACTTTAGTTGCAAGTGGTCCGCAGATAAATATGAACATTACAAAATGTTCATATTGTGACAATAATAAAAAAGTTTTAAAAATATATTGCCATTTTTAATTTTATGTAATTTTTACCTTTAAATAACTGATATATTACATAAGTATATAAAGCCCAAAAGTACAAGCTGCAAAAATCTTTAGCCGAAATAAAGTTCGAGTGTAAAAGGTTAATAAAATTTTCTTTGTTTTAAGATTTTTATAGCCTTAATTTTTAACACAATACAAGAATGGAATCAATTTTTTATTCTTCTTTTTTAAAGTTTTGATTTCTTAATGTTGTTTTCAATGTTTCTTCTTAATAGGATCATATCTTCATTGAAAAACATTCATGAATTGAAATCAAAAGGAATTATGCAAATTGGCAAAGTATGTTTTTGTAATTATAAAAACAATTTCGCTTCAACCCTGACAATTTATACGCTAAAAATATTAATAAATTCGAAGGCTTTTCCGGAAATCATAAAATTTTGCTATTATTTTCTGTTGATGAATATAAATGTCAAGGAATTTTCTATTGATTTCTGAATATACACATACATAGGCATTATCGACAAAATTATTAAAGTTTCATTGAACTTTTGTAATTCTGTTTTGATATTTTTCTGTAGCAAAATCAAATTAATCAAAACGGTAAATAATCTACCTCTGGAGGATTTGTTGGTACCAGACTTTGTTTTCGACTTGTAATGCTAGCTTTTCGTACCGGTTCCTTTTTCTTCCAAAATTTTAATTTATTCATTATTCTTTGACAGCGCCTAAAATTTTTATAAAATAAAATATTTATTATAAATTCTTTTTATTTAAGGATGCATACGTTTGTGGTGGTCCATGTGGTTCACTTAATATACTTTCTCTTCTTTGTGATGCTCTTGGAGGTGCTTGCCAAGCTGGTACTCCCGGCTTTTTAACCTTTTTCTTACATGGTATACAACAACAACATTTAACGGTTTCCATTTCTGTACCATCTGTTGTTGTTTCGATTTTATTTGCTGGTCGACAACAGAACATTTTACGTAAACACATTGTACATTTACCATTTTTTGGTTCTGTCATATCTCTTCTTATATGTTTTGATTGAACTTCTGATTCTTCGGCTATTGTTTCCATACGTCCAGCTTTGATTGGTGGTTGAGATTTTTTTCTATTACAACATTTCATACGTTTCCAACAACTTTGTTTTTGTGTTTTTTCATTAACCTCTTTAACGATGACAGCTGCCTTTTCCGATGTTGTATCATGTTTCTTTTTACAACATTTTGATGTATTACATCTACAGCGACGGCATGGCATACATAAACGTGTACAACATCGACAACATTTTGATTTTCCACAGCAACCAGTTGTTTCTTCGTCTGAGCCAGTAAGAAGTTCTTGACTTCCTTGCGGGCTACAATTAAAATTGAAACATAAAAGGAAAAAAAAGGGAGAAAGAAAAAAAAAAACAAAAATAACGGAAAATTTTTATAAAAAGAAAATTAAAATTAAATTATTTTTTATATAATAAAAAATTGTAAACTGTTCTAAAATTGATTTTCTTAATTGACAAAATTTAATTTTTAATCAGTTTACTTTTTACTAAAAATACAAAATTTTGCAAATCAGAATTTAAAAAATTTATTAGATTGAACAAAATTAATTGCAGCTCGAAAAACAAAATTAAGTAACGAATATGATTTGTCGGCAAAAAAAGTGGCAGTTGCTGCAACAAAACCTGAAATTTCATGCGTTCTTCGTTAAGTTTGCCAACGTTAAATCAACTTAGTTTAGTTTGTCACTTTCCTGCTGAGAGACTGCTTCTAAATAATTAATATTTTTCAAAAGATATTGTTCAGAATATGTTCAATGAGCAATTAAATTTAGGTTTTGGGCCTGTCAATTGCCCGCCGAGGTCATAAAATTTAACTTTCCTAAATTATTTCCTGTTGATGAGATTTTTTTGTTGAGGTTTCTTGATTTTGTAACTTTGGAAAACAGTGAGCCTTAAGTGAACATTTCGAGTAGATCCCCCTAAACGTAGTTGCAATCGTAACATATACACGAAATTATTTGGAAAGCAAGTCACAACTAATATAGTTTATCGATTTAATTAAAAATTATATTGAAATTCGAAATATTTCTGCATTTTTCTTCGAATTTAATAATTGATTTTTTTTTTTAATTTATAGTTAATAGAGGAAAGAAGTAGTTTTCATAAGAAACAATTAAAATTTTCACCTTCTTGGTATTCAAACATTACCTTAATGAATGAAATTTAATACTGTTATTATTGTTCATAAAATTATTTAAATTTAATACAATTAACACTTCTTTATTCACTACAAAAAAATTAGATAATTTACAATAAGTTTTTAGTTTTTTTTTTCTAATTATTCTTTAATTGTTTTGTGCCTTTCTCAAGTTTATTTTTTTCCTAATATTCACTTTATTTAAAAACTCAATTTAAATAATTCCATATTCAATTTCAAAGAAATTATAAAAACATATTTTTAAAACTTTTCATTATTAATTCACAGGGAAGACTGCAAGAACTATGAAGGATTGCAAAGTTGCAGTTAAACTTAAGTTGAAAAAAAAAACCCAATTTTTTTTTTCTTTTGTTTCTTAATTTTTTATATTTTCCATGAATCATCACATTTTCATTACCTCAATAACAGCCTATATGTAAATTTTCACACATTTATAAGGGTATAACTACAGCGGGTACTGTGTATGCATAATAATGGCCAAATAATTTCAATTTAGTAAAAGTAATACCGTAAAATATTTTTTTTTTCTGAAGGCATTTCAATAAATATACATTTTATTAAAATTTTATATACGGCACACGCCAATGCTGAAAAATCTATTTAACCCTTTAGTAACTGTTTTTCTTATTTTAAAACTTATAATTGACGTTAAATATTGACGTAAATTTTCTTAGTATGTCTTTAACTAGAAAATTCTGCCGTCGCTAGATAATAGTCAAATAAAATAATGGTTATTGGTAGACTGCAATCAACTACAATTAAAGAATCGGACAACAAAAATTTCATTGGAAGAAACTCAAGGATTTGTGTGACAGTGTACGAATTTTTCATATAATACTTTTATTTTTTATTATTAAATTAAATATACCGTAAAAATTCATAAATTGACAAATGTACATATTATACTGAGCAATTATTAACAGAATAAGCAAAACAAGAAGACTCCAATTCAACAACACTTGATCAAATAATGCATATTTATCAAAAGAAATCGGAATTTAAGGGTTAAATTATATGAATTTTGAAATTAAAAGAGCAAAAATATTAAGTATTATAAAAACATTAAGAAATGCCGATAATATTATAAAAATGGAAATTATTGTTAAATTTTATTACCTTCAAAGTCTGCTCATACTTTTTTATATTATTGGAATTTCAAAAAATTTTCACTACTTTTACATTATTTTATCGCATACACATATTCACACACAACGTGTACATATTATATGTAGTCATAATATCCTGCACGATTCATAGTATTTTTTTTTTACTCTTTTCTGATTATCTGATTGTAAAGTTTAAGGAATGTCCTTGACTGTATAATAACGAAAAACACAAAAAAAAAATTTAACAATTGTTTCATGTTCTCTATATCCTTTATAATAATTGTCCACTGTATGTACTTTATGAGTATTGCAATTCTATACATTTCCCTATGAAATATACAAGGGCATAAAATTAAAAACAAAATTTATTTCTTGTTTGGATATATCGAGAAATTGTACCGAAAACATATTAGAATTTTATGATTTGAATGAAGGTCACATCGATAATATTGAATTCTATTGAAGGTTTTAAATATTCAAGGTTTTTTTATGTAAGAAGACCATAAAGATATAAAAAATGTTTAATTACTCTAAGTATACAATAAGTTAAGTCTAAGGTTAGAAGTTAAAATGTTAATTTTGAAAAGTAGAAACTAAAAATTTCAATTCATTTCGTTTCTTTAACTTTACAAGTTTTACGAGAGTCTTATATACCTTAGACTAAATTAAGTACAGTCTAAACAAATGAACAGCTCAAAAGTATTGCAATCAATTCCAATCTGTTCGTTCAAACGAATCAAATCATAATTAATTAATTTAATGAACTTATGCTGACATTAAATGAGAATGTAAATGAAAGTTTTCGCTCACTTTTTTTACACGTAGAATTTAATTTGACAATTTTTTTTTTTAAATAATTCGCATAAAATTTTATATGTGATTTCAAGGAATTTAACAACAATGTTAATGAAAATTTTTATATTAAATGAAATTCAAAGAATTTTAATTTTTATTTTAAATAATTGAAATATTTATTGTGATTTATGTAAAACGAACTTTTTAATATTGAGTGATTTTTTAGTTATTTCATTTTTCTTATTTTTATTTTTGACAATCTACTTGTCATTTGTTACAGTTAAAGTCTACTCAAATTGGTTTGGCATTTTACCAAAGAAAGACTGAAATCCGAACGACAGTTTATGAAATTATTAATATATTTATAAATATGAATTATGAAGATATATTTAATAAGCTATACTCATTTTAGATTTTGGATATTATTTCATTGGCCGCCAACAGGTTTCAATTAGCGTTCAAGTTATTCCTTTGAAAAGCAATACTGAATGTAATGTATCGAACGAAATTTGCAAAAAATTACTTCAAAATCGGATCCTTCGAGAGAATCGACATTTTGCTGTGATCGACATTGATATATGTAATACTTCTACTATCAATTCATCGGCTCAATTAATAAAAATTTCATGTAAATTTAAAATTTTTGCTATATGTTTTTCTATAAATTTAAAACACAAAAAAATCACCCTATATAAGATTATATGCATGGACGATGTGAACATAATATTGAACGTATGTATAAACGTATGTATAAACGGAAATGTTTGATTACCGTGATCATAAACCACTTCGTTTTTTTTTTTGCAATTAATTTGTAAAGTACAATTGAATATTTGCCAAGAATTCTGACGTAATATGAATTTCAACTTCTTTTTTATAACCATTTAATATTAGTTATTATACATTTATAAAATGAATTTTCCAATATTATTATTAAAAAATCAAAATTTTTAGAAGAAAACCACTCCTTCAATCAGGAAGTCATTATTTATTTTTTAATGATAATCGAAGAAATTATGGGACTAGAATGAATTGCAAAAATATCAATATTGAAATTTAATTAAATTTTATTATATATTCAATATTGTATGGAACAATAAATTGGAGTTGTAGTCTTCAATGTATTCTAAATTAATCTTAAGTATGTTAAAATTTATGGGCTTTAATATAAAAAAATTTTAGTATTATAATTATTACGAGATTTTACTAAAGAAAATTATAACAAGCATAGACGTCAACCCGGTTTTTTTATTTTATTTTAAAAAAGAAAAATCTGATAAGCTTGTATAACACAATACAAATTTCCATTTTAAGCGATAAAGCTTATTGGTATAACAAATTATAATTTATAACAAATTTATAAATTATTTCAAATTTAATTATTTAAATTTAAATATTAATTTTTAGGTTATCAAAAATGCAAATATATTAAAAATGTGGACACGTGCATAACTCAAATTTGTTTCTAAGAATACCACAATGTATAATTAAATTGTATAATATTGTGATTAAAAAAAAAATACTGACCGAATAAGTTTACATGACATTTTTTATAAATTATAACAATAACAACTTGTATACCGTAAATTGCTCTGAAATATTTAATTTGGTAAATTGACGGCCGTTAGAACTAGAACTGCCTAATTCAAAATTAATAGTTTCGAGTGAATGTTTAAAATCTTGCTGGGCTTGGAATATCTACATATTATAAACTTTTCTTTATAATTTTTTTTAAATACTGATTGCTTCAGAATTTAAATTTATTCAAATTACTTAAGATTATTAATATAAATATAGAGGGTTCGAATATCATATTATCTCGATTTTGTGTTAAAATGACTTAAAGGTAGTTTTGCCTTATTGCTACAAAATTTTATGCATTTAATAAATATAAATTTATTAGTCAATTAGAGATTAAGAAGCTGAGAAATGAAAAATTTTTGATTAATACAAGTAGGTGTAGATAAAATCCAGTAAAGGGTTGAACAGAGCGTACTTAACCTACAGAATTATAATTTTCAGAGTTTGAATTCAACTGGAAACTTAAATACATACTTTAAATGTGATTCTGTATTTCGTAATATGCATTCGAAAGCAACAATTATTTAAATGTCAGGAGTGACAACTATTTATGTGTTTGAAATATCCAAAATATTAAATTTTCCTTATCTTTATAATTGTTCATGTCGCATTCTACTAAATTTTTTTTATTTTCATAATTTTGTATTTTAGCAATAAAA